TTGGAAACGTGCATTTGTTTCTGATGTTTTTTTCAAAATCGTTGGCTTTGATAAAGTTTAATCTGACATGAAAACAAACGAATCTGTTAAGTTAATTGTAAATGTGTGTATTTTAAATATCTTTTTATAAAGAAGAAAGTTAATATTTGTTACTGATGAGGTTAAATATAAAAAAAAAGTTGGATTAAAGAATTAACTGTTAATTTATTTCAAATTTAAGTAAAGACAAACGTATTGGTAACTTGATTGGAAACGTGCATTTGTTTCTAATGATTTTTTCAAAAACGTTGGCTTTGATAAAGTTTAATCTGACATGAAAACAAACGAATCTATTAAATTAATTGGAAAAGTGTGTTTTTGAATATCTTATAATTGTCTATTTCTTGATTTTTATTAATTTTTTGGGGACTATTGAAATGTTAAGAGCAAAATGCTAAATATTACGTTTTTCCATCTTAATTTCTCTTTTCATAGAAAATGTTATACATTTTTTTATATAAATTCATGAAGAAAAACTTAGTTTTCTATATTAACTTTTTGGAAAAGTATGCAAACCAAAATTTTATAATTTTGCTTCAGAAACATAACTTGAATTTAAAAAAAAAACATATTTTGTATTGTCATTAGTCTCTTTTTCTCAAATTTATTTATTTTTTTTAGAAAATAGTTGGATTGCAGAAGGAAATTGCAAAATCTTACTGTTTTATATAAGTTTATAAATGAGAAATTGGTTGAATTATATAATAAAAATGTTACAAATTATTGCAGAAAAGTCATTTACACTCTAACCATTCTCCATTTATCAATTTTATATAGTTTTGGAGATTGTTAAATCCTATTAACAAACACTTAAGAGTTTTTGTTAAAAAAAATCGTTCTAAAATTGAAAATTCTATTTTCTTTAAAAGACTTGATCAAAGATGCTACAATTCTATATTCATAGATTCTTTACTATTATAAAGTAGAAAATTTCAGTAATTTTTTGTTGAATTATAGAAAGAAAGTTCGAGTTTTGTGCAATGAATAAATTTCTTTATTTTTTTTTTAAGCAATAAACAGTTTATATAATTTCAGAAATACATAGAATTACTCTCGTTTTTTTTGTTGTTTTAAATTCCAGCCACGTCTAAATAGTTCTAGTCGACTTATTTTAATTTTCTACTTAATTAAAATAACTAGGAAATAACAAACAAAAAAAAATACATAAGTAAAAAAAAATATGAAATAAACGGTTTTGAAGAATGTTGCGTGTTCTAAAGTTAAATGTTGTATGTAGGAGTAACTGTCAATTTTTTCAATTGTTTTAACGTATTATTATGTTGATTGGAAACAAATGTTAATTATTATTGCTGTGTTAACCATAGCAACTGTCAATTAATTAAAATATTAAGTTAAGACAAACGTATTAAGAAGTTGATTGGATAAGTGTGTTTGTTGGTTATACTTTGTTGAAGAACGTTTGTCTTTGATTAAGTTAAATGTAAACAATGTTAGTATGAAGGAAAACTGTTAATTATGTTAATGTCATTTGGAAACAAACGTATTTCTTGAGTTAATTGGATTTGTTTAATATGTTTTATTTGTGAAAAAAGTTGATATATTTTTTTTTTATAAAGTTGAATAGAAATAAAGTTGGATAACTGTTAATTGAAAAGGTGAGCGTCTTTTTGAAGAATATTAGATGAAACACTTTACAATCTTAGGTGATAACAAACGTATTTTTGTAGGAAGAAAGTTAATATTTGTTGTTAAAGTTAAATATAAAATTAAAGTTGGATTGAGAGTTAACTGTTAATTTACGTTAATTTTAAGTAAAGACAAACGTATTGTTAACTTGATTGAAAATGAGCTTTTATTTCTAATCCTTTTTTTTGAAAAACGTTGGGTTTGATAAAGTTTAATCTGTCATGAAAACAACGAATCTGTTAAATTAATTGGAAATGTTTGTATTTTGAATATCTTTTTATATAAAAAAGAAAGTTAATATTTGTTACTGATGAGGTTAAATATAAAATTAAAGTTGGATTAAAGAGTAAACTGTTAATTTACATCAATCTTATGTAAAGACAAACGTATTGTTAACTTGATTAGAAACGTGCATTTGTTTCTGATTCTTTTTTCAAAAACGTTGGCTTTGATAAAGTTTAATCTGTCATGAAAACAAACGAATCTGTCAAGTTAATTAGAAATGTGTGCATTTTGAATATTTTTTTATAAAGAAGAAAGTTAACATTTGTTGTTGATAAAGTTAAATTTAAGTTGAAGTTGGGTTTAGTCTTAAGTGCAAACAAATGTTTAATGAAATTGATTGAAGAATCAAAATGTTGAATGAAGTAGTAAAACTTTTCGATGTTACGTAAAAAGAATCGTAGGTCGATTGGAAAGGTGTATTTGTGCATTTGCAATTCGCGGACCGGCGAAAAAGACGGAATTCGAAAGGTTTCCAAAGTTTTCGTTCGGAGCGGCGATAGAAAGTCTCGTTTGGAAGAAAGAATAAAAAGGGAACTTACTCTGGCGTAATTCAAAATCTTGTCCGTTTCATCTGGAGGATTCCCGCTGAGGGCTGCAGTTTGCGCGTCCGACCATCGGAAGAGTTGAACGACGGTGAGGAGAAGCACCGAAGAGATCAGCAGCATTTGGGAAGAGATGCGGAGGAGAACGCGCGTTCGTCGTCCGGTCTAATGGGTAATAAAGTCGCGGTGCGCAGACATTGCCCACCAGCAAAGAATAATTCCCCTATGGAGGAGAGAAAGAAAGAAGGAAAGAAAAAATATAAATAAATCGGCAAGTGCGAAGGACGATTGATGTTGCGTACGGCACGGAGCGACGGAAAAATCGCGTTGTGATCTTGTGAAGTGAAATGCAATGATAATAATAATAACATCATAATTATAACGAACGTTCACTCTCGGCCGGAATGGAATCTGTGCACGCATTTTCTTTTTTTTTCTATTACTATTACCATTTGTTCAAGGGCGTTTACTCAATTTTCCGATTCGCTTTTTTTTTCGTTGTTGTTGTTACAGCCTACATAGATTATAAAATCTGCGTCTACAGTTGTCATTTTCAGATTTACCTGCATTTACTCCCCCGAAATCGTTGATGACCTTACCGACGCATTCTCACCTTCCTCCACATCCATTCGTTAACGAGCAAACAAAACGTTGCGCAAAGGACCTTCCGAAAATTAGATACACGACATTCCAACAAGTCAAACTGTTATTTTTTCTTTCTAACAATTCATTTTTAAATTTACAAAGTAACAAAGTTTTTATTTCTTATTTTTGCATATTGAGTATGTAGGAAAACAATCACGACTATTAATAAATTTAAAAGTAAAGCTATTAATTTAAATCATTGTTCGTTCAAAGCGGTGCAAGAAAAGGCGCAAATTGCATTTGCAGTAAACATTTCATTCCGAGACGATTGCATTATATATTTTATCACTACGTATTTCTTCGAAGCTTTTACTTTTGTTACGTGTTTTCTTTTCAATAGTATTTATTTAATTTAAGTGAAGAATCGAAAATTTTCCATTAAAAGTTATAAAATTGTTAATGATTAATTGAAAGAACGTTTGAGTATCAAAAAAGTACTAAATTTTATAAAAATTATCATATTTTTAGTGAATATCTTTAGGAACTGTTAATTGAAATAACGTTGAGTCTCTAAAAAAGTACTAATTGTTTTACTATATTTTCTTTAAAATTAAGAAAGAAATTTGGATTTTTAGAAAAGTCTCATAAAAATTATCAAATTATTTTAGTGAATGTCTTTCTTAATTTACTGTATTTAATTTAATTTTTTACTGTATTTTCTTTAAAATTAAGAAAGAATTTTTTTTAGAAAAGTTTCATAAACGTTATCAAATTGTTAGTGAATCTCTTTATAAACTCTTAATTGAGTCTCAAAAAAAGTACAAAATTTTTAATGTCTTATAAAAATTATCATATTTTTAGTGAATGTCTTTAAAAACTGTTAATTGAAAGAACGTTTGAGTTTCTAAAACCAGTACTAATTTTTTACTGCATTTTCTTTAAAATTAAGAAAGAAATTTAGATTTTAGAAAAAGTCTCATAAAAATTATCAAATTGTTAATGAATCTCTTTAAAATCTCTTTAATAGAAAGAAAGTACTAATTTTCACAGTATTTTCTTTAAAACTAAGAAAGAAATTTGGATTTTAGAAAAGTATCATAAAAGTTATTAAATTGTTAGTGAATCTCTTTATAAACTCTTAATTGAGTCTCAAAAATCTACTAAATTTTTAGTGTCTTATAAAAATTATCATATTTTTAGTGAATGCCTTTAAAAACTGTTAATTGAAAGAACGTTTGAGTTTCTAAAAAAAGTACTAATTTTTACTGTATTTTCTTTAAAATTAAGAAAGAAATTTGTATTTTTAGAAAAGTCTCATAAAAATTATCACATTCTTAGTGAATCTCTTTTTAATTGAGAAAGAACGTTTCAGTATGAAAAATGTACTAATTTTTAAGTAAATTTCCACACATTTTTTTTAATGTTTTCTACAAATATGTACATCAATATCTTGTTAGCGTATATTTATGAAAATGACAATGAAAAATTGTCAATTGAATAATTAAGGAAAAGGTGAAGGATGATTTGCTTGAAATGCGCAGTTCAAATAGAAATAAACTACTCTTTAAGCCTTCAAAAGAAGCAGTTAGTAAATTGGTAATTTCTTGAGGACTGCGAATAGTAGATTCAATAATAAGTAAAGAATCTTGATGAAAAATTGTTGGGAATAAATAGCAAAGTTTAGTAGAATTACAGTTTCTTAAGAAAATGTAAGTCTTAAAACAAATTTATGTATTTTTTTTACTATATTTCTTCTTCTAAATGAATCAATTACAAAAAGTATAACTGTGGATAACTTCTATAATTGTCGTTTCACTAAGTGTAATACTAATTAGAATGTTGCATAGTTAGTAAAAATAGGATTTATAGGGTGAATTCAAGGTATATTAAAAATGTCAGTTGTGCAATGCATAATTTTATTCATAATTTCCCATTTGAATCATAACAAAAATCGTCTACAACATCAGTTTTAATATCCACCGTATTTTCCATTGCGGTGTGGTTCCGGTTCGGATTTGCCTCCTTTGCCATACGGTTCAGGTTCTGGTTCGGATTTACCTCCTTTACCACCTTTGCACGGTTCAGCCTCAGCTTCTGGTTCCGGTTCAGGCTTGGGTTTATCGTCCGGCTTCTTCTTGCCCAACTTCTCCTGCTTACTGAGCGAAGCTGAAGACTCCGAAGAGTACAGGATCACGCAGAACGCGACGACGGCGAAAAGTACAATACACTTCATGTTGAATGTTGTTGCTATTGATGCTCAAACCGAACCCCAACCACGGTTTATATACCAAAGTTCTTCCACCTGGAAAATTTCGTAATTTCACGTATTCACAGGATAACGAACGAAAATACCGCAGCAAGTCACGTTTCGGGAATGCGAGACAACTATTTTTCTTGTTTACCGACTTAAAATTACAAAAAAAGAACATTCATTCATTCAAAACTATGTAAAAGACGAATTCTTAAACTAAAGTTTATTGTACAAAAAAAAAATACTTAACATTACATAAATTATAATAAGTCCTTTTCTGAACGGATATATTCACCGATATCGCATTGATGGAATGCAACTGTTGCCATTGGATCAGCATGCTTGCATTCTGCAGTCGATAGCGAAGCAACACCAAAACCTAATGGTAAGTCTTCCATGCTGTAAACAACGACACCGCTGTACTTCTCAGTGTTTTCACTAATTCTGCCCATGCCTCCTTTGGTCACATGCTGCCCGTACAAGAACTGCTGCTCGGCTGAAGATTTCAACCACATCTTACATTGCGCGTATGGCGCCAAATAATTGAGAGCTGTGATCTGAAGGATGAATTTGTTGGATTTCGTGAATTTCCCTATGCAGGTGCCAGCGCAGACCAACTGTTGCTGGGTGAAAGTGTCCGACAACTTCATCAGCTTCTCGGACAAATAATAAACCCTGTCCTTTTTCTCGCGAAAGCAGTAATTGCCATCGGGTCTCTCGATTAATACCTTCACATTGGGTCCAACACTGAAAACAAATGAATTAAAACTTAATTACCTTAGAAATTTTTCAACACTTACTATTTCGCTAGTTTCTCGAAGAGAATTTTATTCCTTTGCTCTGATAACCTCTTCATGACGACACTTAGTAAATACAAATTAGTTTAGTAAAGATCTCAGTCTCGGTGAACCGTTGTCAACAGATTTATAACCTAAGAAATCCACATGGGTTTATCTTCATCAGCGCCACCGAATTGCAACTATTCAATTTGAGCGCTAAATTTTCGAATATTTAAACTATTTCCTCAACTACTTTCATTTTATTGATATTGCTCAAGTAATCACAAATAATTACATATTATCGTTATCAAACAGTTGTTTTGTCATGAGGCTGATTTTCTGGGTTTTCTGCACGATCTCCGGACACTTTTTCTTCCTCACCAATCGGCAATCTTGGAAGAATCCTTCGTTCTTTGGAAACCCATTGGTGCCATCCTTGAAGGTGGTCATTCCTACAAAAATAAATAACTATTAGATAGAAGATTGTTCAATATTTAAATTTGAGCAATTACCAAGACCCCACATCTTTCCACCGCGAAACTCTCCCTCGTGTTTCATACCGTCGGCCCTCCAGAAGACGCCGTACCCATGGAACCAGCCTTCAGAAAACTCCCCTTCGTACCTTAACGTAATAAAGTTTCAAAGAAAACTTTTGTTATAGATTGAAATTTCAAAGAAATACTTTGCCCCATCGGCGAATGTGAGTATTCCCAGACCATTGAACATCCCATCCGTGAAGTATCCATCGTACCTGGAACCATCCGGGAAAAGCATATGCCCAATTCCTTCGCGTTTTCCACCGCTCGTCCATCCACCCACGTAAATAGCACCACCCTCGTGCCTATACCCACCGATCTTGGCAACTTTAGCTACAAGTTTATAATATTAATTATTAATAACAAAATATAATCAATGATAAACCTACGTATTTCTTTCTCCATTTCTTTAGCTTAATTGTTTTAATAGATCAAATTGGATTACAATTTAAATTAAATTAACGAACGGAACAAAGTTGAACTATTTTGAAATTTGAATAGTTATACAACCAGTTGTACAAAGATGTTAATTATAGCATAAAACAAAGTTAATTTATGTTATTATTTTTATATATTCCAATTAATCATTAGTATATTATCACAATTAAAATGAGTTTGGCGAATTCCAGTAGGTACGTAACGCGATTCTGGCGCGTGTACAGGGGTTACAGCAGACCTAACCTTAAACAACAAATAAATAGGTAATAATCAGTGATAATTTGGTAAATACGTTATAATTAATCTATTTTATTTTAAAAGAAGTTTCTGCGCTTTAACAAAAACAAATGAGAATGAAGGTAAGCTGATTGAATTTTCTGTTAATGAGTTTTTTTTTAACTGTATATTTGAAGATCCGATTAATTTGTTGTGGAACTGTGGGCATCAATCATACAATGAATCGTTGTCAGAGAGGATAAACAAATTGCAGAGAGTATGGCGGACACTGAACACATCCGAGTTGGAGCTGTGCAAGGCTTATTTGAAAGTCAGCATGGAGAATGAGATGAGTGTGGATCATAAGGAATTCTTAACATCTCTAAAGTGTAAACCTGACGAGGAGATTCTTGTGCTTCTATTGGAAGCAGTTTGTATGAAGGGTGATGTGCAGAGTGCTGTAGATGTGTTAGCTGAGATGAAATTGGCTGGAGTGGCTGTGGATGAGAGGATTTTCAATGCGCTTTTGTTGGCGCACATAATCAAAGGGTAAAAATTATTATGTCTTTTTCTGTGGAAATTTGTATGTGTTGTCTTTGCAGCGGAATGGAGCATGGACGTTCCGTTTTGAAGACCATGAAGACCGCGCACATCGAAGAGTCGGAAAACACGAAGTGGATGATGTTGAAGGGTTTGGCTCAGAATAATAGTCTGAAGGAATTCGTCGATGTTTTAGGTAGTATGCAGAAATTGCAATTCAATGAGAGTAGATTCTTTGATCTTCTCACGATTCTTGGATCGCGCGGCCATCACCTTTGGATTAACGATGTATGAAGTTTGTTTCTATTATTGCGATGGAGAAATCACGTTGATTTGTTGCTTTTAGTTTGTGGACTTCATTGGTGTGGATTCAATATCTAAAGTGACTTTAAGCAAGTTGGAACCGGTCTGTGTGCAGTTGGTGCATAGGAAATGTCCAGAAGCTGCCTTCCACATCTACAAATTACTTATAAATCCCGAGAATATCAAGAATTATGGAAGCAATTTGCTGCGGGAAATGATCAACGCCGAAATAGTAAAATTAGCTTAAGAGATGTTTTAATTTTTACTTAAGCCAATTGTTGTTTTAGCCAATCGAAACGGTGATCGAAATGAGTAAAAGTCTGATCGAGAACGAATTGAATCCTCAAGCTCTGATCGACGTGACGGAAACTGCGCTACGAAAAGGATTAGTTAAAGAATCTTTGCTACTGTTCAGAAATCTCGATACTGTTAGGCCGCATTTCTTTTGGCCCTTGATCAAAATCCGTGGAGGTGAATTGGGCGAAGCCGGAGCCATCGAGATGATGGATGAAATGCAGTCGCTGGACGTGGTTCTCGATTACGATACACTCGAATACTATCTGCTTCCCTACTGCGACATTTCCAATCCGAACTTCTTCATGCAACGCGTTAAATTGAAGCGGAAGGAGATCTTGACTCCACTAGTTTCGTTGCTGCTGAAGCAGGGTAATATCAAGGGTGCTCGAGATATGAGTCAGCTGGATGCGGTGGATTCGGCTAGACTCTTGAAGCCTTTGTCCGATGCTTGGAAGAAGCATAGAGAGAGTACGTTGATCACGGAGATCCTGCAGAAGATCTGCGAGTGCGCGCCGGTCAGTTCCGATCACACCGGTACGTTCCTGCTGAGATGCTTGAAGACCTGCAAAACCGGAGACGATTACGACGATTTCTTTACGTTGGCGGAGACGGTGAGGACGAAGCGTTTGACCGTATCCTCGTTGGCTTCGGAAGATATGACTAATAACTTGAAGTTTTACGGGGCCAAGTGTAATTGCAAGGACGATCTCTATAAGGTTTTAGATAAACTCATTGATATTGCGAAGAACGAGTCTTTGCACATCGAGCATCCGGTAAGTTGAAATTATAACAATATTTATCGATTTGTTATTGATTTTTTTTGTGTTTTAGCGCGACATGGGATTGGAGGATTTGGAATGCCATTTGCAGGAGTTAACCAATAAGGGTATGGAAACGCGCGGGGTCATTAGAAAAATGATCCAATTGCATGCAAGTAAAGGTAACTACAAGCGAGTGCAGGAGCTGAGGGATTTGTTTAAGGAGAGCGGATACGTGGAGACGGCCGGAATGAAGTCGTCGTTGCTGCATGTACTTGTGAAATCCGGCGAACTGAATTTGGCGCTCGAGGTGTACAAGGACATCAAGAATTCGCAGGAGGACTTCGAAATCGATAGTTTCAAAGCCATCGATTTGGTTACGCTTTTACTGCAGACTGGAGGAAACGTTTACGAAGCAATCGATATCCTGAAGATCGAGGCTAAAGTGAACAGGACGCGTGGCTCTCTGGACAGGAACTGCTGGAAGATGTTGAATCAGGCGCAATCGCCCGAAGACGCTTTAAAATTGTTCGAGTGCATCATCGAAAGCGGATACTGCCAAGTCAACAACATGATCTTAGGACCAATAGCAAGGAGTTTCCTGAAACAGTAAGATGATCATTTCGGACATCAAATTCATACTTATTTGTTTGCTTTCGCAGAGGTGATTTTAAGGGGGCCGTAGAATTCTACTGCAAATGCACACAAGAGTACAAATGCACTCCGCTTCAAATGGAGATGTTCCTTGTGTTGATCGAAGCTAAGGAGCAGGATTTGATCAATACGGTTTACGAAGCGACCATCGAAGTGCACGGGTCTTACGGAACGCAGATTTCGTTCGCTTCGGCTCTGGCGCAGAAGGGGTTGGAAAAACCTCTGGCGAAATTCCTTGTGGTGAGTTCTTCTCCATTATATTTCTGCAAGATGTTAAACGTGCATTTCATTTTGAAAGGGCATGAAACGGTTTCGGGACCATGATTTGGATAAGCGGTGCGAGAAGTGGATCTACGAGAACAAGATGTTACCAATGAAGACGTTGGCGCTGGCCTCCCGCAGGATAACGTCGCAACCCATCAAAGTTTCCATCATCCATTCGGCCGTTTTGAAATTGTACAGTAAAACTAATGACTGTGAAGGTGCTTTGGGCTACTTGAAAGAACTCGAGAACAACGATATGACCGTGGACTCTAGATTCTACGAGGACCTGAACAGATTGTTGACCAGGTGCAACTTCCAAGTGCCAAAATACGTTGCTGATAAATGTTGATTATTTAATAAAAGTTATTGTTAATCTTTGTTTCATTTTTTTACTGAAAACCATGACTTTAATTAAAACTTCCTAACAACTTAAGATAAAATTTCCTTACCAGGAAAACCTTCTAACGTATATAGACTAAAAAGAAACATTAAATAACTTGGGAATAATTAAGTTTATGTTATGAATATTTCAAGAGAGATAACTCACGTTTATCTTCATTCATTAAAATGACATATGTTATTTTATATATTAATTAATTTTAAAATTCCGTATATTTACTCACAAACAACAATAAGTAATAAACACTTGATACATTACATTCCTTCTTTCAGTTATTGCCTAACTTTTGCTTGTAATTCGAAGTTGATTGATGCTACTAATTATTGAGATTTTTAAATTCTAATTTATAAATTAGGATGACAGAACCCTTCATTCTTTAATTAATTAAAATTGAATTAAATGCATTGAAGTAATTGTCTGAATAATATCATGTATTAATATGTTATCATCATCACTGAAACTAATGAAAATGAAATATTTCATTTCCAACTGGAAATCTTTTATCAAAGACTTGTGAAGTGTGAAAAGACTCAAAGACTTTTTTTTTTTGTTAATTATATAAAACATATATAAATTATAATAAGTTTTTAAGAAAATTGTATAGTAAAATTAGAATATTTTCTAAGCAAAGGTGCGGAAAATGTGATCCGCGAGATGTCGCCAGCGTGAGAAAAAAGAGCCAACTATGTAATTTAAATTAATGAATGAAACCCGAGCAGGAAACGCATCACATGCGTGCGTATCACTGACTGACATTTATATTATCATTATTATTATTATGATTATACGTTTTTTCCTGCATTCGAGGATTGCTTATTAATTACAATTTTTTTTTCCGAGGCCTATTTATAAAATTCCGTCATCTCAGCAGTTCCTTCGTCTGCTAGTGCAACACACATGTGCGTGTATTTTTCTTCATTAATAAGCATTAACATAAATTACATCAAAATTGAATGAAAGTAGGCTTTACCGATTACTAAACAAACCCAAAAAGTACCGATTTCGGCTTTTTCAGTTTCGCTTTGTTATGTTTACTATTTACCATTGATTATTTGTGAATGTATGTAGACGGTTTACATTTGCTTTGGTTGCTGGACGATTGATGGGACTGAGGGGTGAGCCCTGTGGAACGTCTTTGAAAAAAAAACAACAACAAATTTATGGAAAATAATAAGAAGAGGGTTTCCGTGTTGCGTTCCGAAGGACGAATGTGCATTTTATGCGGCCCTTGCATACATCTGAATATTAAGTTTAATAAAGAAACGAAGCGATTTGCATTTGCGAATGTGAACCGAGGCCGTCCTATTTACGGAGCGACTCCTAATGCAGCCGGCTGATTATTATTACTTACGCTTATTACGAAGATGCAAGAGGAGAAGGAGGATGATGATGAGGTCCTTGAGATTCAACAAAAATCCGATTAAATGACATAATGAGCACATTTATTTATTTGTGCGCCGTCGAATTAAACACTTGTCTTCATCCTCCTCCTTTTCTCCTCTTCATCCACTTCATCCTGCACCTCCAGCGCGTCGAAGCTTCGGACTCGTTCTTTTCCCGATGTTCAGACGAGATTTTCACGTTCATTATGGGCAATTTATATTGAAATCTACGCCGTATAAATTTATGTAGATTGTGCAACGAGCATTCCTGAGCCTGTGGGAATCTTCGCCGGGCCGCTGCATCTGCGCCACCTCGTCTTCTCGTCTTTAGGATTTACGAAATACTCGATATCGAAGCGGCGCTTTTCTCAGTTCGATGGTACACACACGTTTCTGACCCAATTTCGCTCGCACCCGAATTCTCTGCACGTTCCAAATGCACCGGACAACTCTTCGAAAGGAAACTCCCAAAAACTGTTTCTTCCTTTTCCTTTTCTTTGGAACGGTACATCATCGCATCCTACACATATTCATAATCCTTATACAAAACGTACCTTAAAACAAAAGCAAAAGCACTTTAGACAAATTTGTTAACAGAATTATAGTTGTTGGTTAATGAATTACTTACAATTGCAATCGAATCGTACAAATACTTGAATTAATGTCTTCAATTCATAAAAATCTGAAAATGAAAATTAGAAGTTTGAAGAAAATAAGTTTTCCATTTCCATAAGTAAGTTTGTAATAAACATAGAAATAAATTCTTTGAACTCTCTTGGTTTTTGGTTTAAACACAAAAAAGGAAATTAACTTATTGAAAATCTTATGATAATAAAATTTTGAATTTCTTAAGTCTTGAAAGTCTTAACTTATGAAATGCATTGAACTTTCAATATTAATTACAATAGAATTAAAGTGATTAAATTAATACTTAAAATTGCGTTCAGTTTACCCCCGTTTGGTGATTGTTTGTAAATAAACAATGGATGCAATAAACAATTAGCGTTTACATTTTGATTGGCTTAAAGGAAAATAAATAATTGTTGATTGTTGAAACATGACGTGCGGTGGGTGTGACCATTGACGATAGACGCTTTACAACAGTTCCACTATTGAGGTACCAATGATAATCGATAATATTCTGTGGTCATCGCCGATACGATTAACATTGTTATTGCGCATTAGAATGTTATTTTTTCGTCTATTCATTTTAGGTCGATCGAAAGTAGTTCAGTGTAAACGAAGGGAAACTAAATCTATATACTTTTTGATGTTGGTGAATTAGCGTACATTTCTTTAATTGATATATTAATTAATTAAATTTTGTCTTTGCTGTAATTATAAATATAAAAAATATTATACATTGCATAATTTAATTAAGAAATTAAGAGAAAACTAAATTAAATTTAATGTTATCAATTCTTAAACAAATTTTCTGATGTAATAAGTATTTCCATGAGATTAAACCGTGATCAACTAGATCAAAAACAAAACAAAGCAAAGTTTTGCAAACTTTCTCCGTTATAAAATACGTAAACAACAATTTTTGGAAGCAAAAAACTTTGTAAACAAAACGGTTGTATCCAGTAGAAAGCAAAATGTTTTCTCAAAGGTAAATAGGAAAATTATATATACAAAAAAAATAAGAAGTTAAATTACTTGTTGCTATTGCGCGTCAAACATCTTTGGTATGGAAAGGAGGAAGAAATGGAAAACGTTACGTTAAGAGAGAAAAAAAACATTCTAATATTGAAAAGGCAGTTATATCTCGAAGATATACCGTACGTCCGAACTCGGGTCACACAACAAAAAAAAAAAACAAGAAATAAACAATAAATTATCCACGTGCCCCCTTGCTCAAATGCAAATGCTGATCGAATTCCATTACAAACCAAAATAGTAGTATTGGTAGTAGTATTACAGTAACCATGAATCCATCCTACTTCTGCTACCTGTAAACTGTAAAAATTACATAATTCATCAAGTATATTTGATTATTAATCGATCTCAAGGTTACTTGAGTTTCGAATAAGTTAGATATTAGGTTACATATTTACATTCGGCTCAGTGGGTGAGAGTGTGTGGATTCGGATTGATTTAGTATTCATGTATTTTGCATTTGTGATAATTGAATTAATTTAAGATTTCCTTGTTTTAAAATTAACTGATTTAGTGAGATTTCTATGCGATTTCAAATGCATTTCTATGAATTTTATATTTCTATTCTATTTGTAGGAGGATATTGGATTTCTATTCTATATCTAAGGGATTTCTGAGTGATTTCTATGACATTTTTATAGCATTTCTATTGGATTCAAATGCATTTCTATGAGTTTTATATTTCTATTCTATTTGTAGGAGGATATGGGATTTCTATTCTATATCTAAGGGATTTCTGAGAAATTTCTATGATGTTTTTATAGGATTTCTAAGGGATTTCGATTTCTAATTCTATAAGTAATTAAGATATATTGTTTGAATAAAAATGATTTAAAATTGAAATTGACCACTTTTTAAGAATAAAAGTTTGATTTTCATGGTCAAGAATTCACGATTTTCCATTGAATTGCATTAAAAAAACCAATATGGAAATATTTAATTTCATAAAATCAAAATTGTATTAAAAATGAATCAGTTTATGAAATTTATCAAATATCTTCATATGAAAAAATATGCGAGTATTTATTTTCAAAGTGCGAGAGCGGAGTTCTGTGAAACGAGAGAGTAGTGTCTATAAATACGATTGTTTCATTAAACATAAAACAATTATTATAATAATGGACAACATATTGCGTTTCTTCGCGGTCGGACTGCTGAAGCCGCTCTTTATTCTGGATCAGTCGGTTTGTTGTTCTTACTTATACTTATACATACATATATATATTCTTGTACAGAGTACACGTGTTTTTTTTAATGAACGTCCGACACCGGTATTATTGCATCCAACTGCACTCGCCTCGACCAGAGAAAGAGAACAACATCTTCCGAGAACCGAAACGTCCGAATTGCACGATCTCAACCTCAAGAAATTCAACAATTGAACACTCTGTAGAAGATCACCCAATAAGTTTCTTTGTATGTTCCATCTCTAAAATTAAACGCAAACGCTTTTTTCTTCATTTTCTTCCTCCCCCGATTCTTTCTTTGTTTTATTTTTTTCACGTGCTCGTCTTGTTTCCACGGATTCTTTCTATATCCAACGGCTTTTAACTCTCTGTCAGTCCGCTTTTACCCAAATATTATCTTCTCCTTTAAATAGAGGAGGTGCACTTTCTCTCTCCCGAAATAAAGACGCGATTTTCACGTTTATTTTTACAATTTACACTTGCACTTCGAAAAATCAACAAGCAAAAATGTTTTGATTTCCAATCTGGAATGTATACGAAAATTAATTGAATCTGAAATTTGCTCAATTTACAAGAAAAATAATAATAGAATAATTGTAATTAGAAATCGAAATCATTTAGCAATCCAATAAAAATATCATAAAACTTAGAAAATTCATAGAAACTTCGAAACTTTGCATCTGGAATGTATACGAAATATAAAAGATTCTAAAATCTGCTCAATTTACAAGAAAGATAATAATAAAATAATTGTAATTAGAAATCGAAATCCCCCAGAAATCCAATAAAAATAACATCACTCACAAATCACTTAAAAGTTCCTTGGAAATCTCATAAAACTTAGAAAACTCTTATAAAACTCATATAAACTTCTAAACTTTGCATCTAAAATGTATACGAAATATAAAAGATTCTAAAATCTGCTCAATTTCCAAAAAAAAATTGGATATTTACATTTTCAAACTTACATAATTTTCCCGACTGTAAATATTTATTATTAATAAAATTCTATTATTTAAAAGATATTTCTTAAAAAAATGAACAAAATGTTAAATTTTTTAATATACTATAAAATATTTTCGATATATTCAACAAAACGTTATGTAACGATGTAAATTACAGTATGAGATTTAAATTTGTGATTTTAAATAATTCATTGAAATAACAGTTTTTTTCTCTCTTTCTCAAATCAAGTTGTAGTTTGATAATTTGATGTGGAAATTGCATAACATAAATGAATCGAAATGCATCGAAACCAGTTTTTCGAACGGCATTTGTTGTGGAATTTCATCAAATATTATGAAATTTTTTGAAAAAATTTAGAAATAATGATGCATTTAAATAATGAGTTTTCTGCAGACATTCTTCTGTTGCGATATCCAAATAAGAAGAATTAAAATATAGTTTTCTTCATGTTAAATTGTTTAGTTCAATATTTATTATTTTTTTTGTCAAAAATCAATTTTTACAATAGAAAATCTATATAAAATTAAAAGTCTAATTAGTCTAAATTTAGTTCGACTTGAATACTTTTACGTGGAAATTGCATAATAAAGTAAATTACACTAATTGAAACCAGTTTTCAAACGGCATTTGGAATGGAACCGTTTTTTATTGCTGGAATTCCTTGTAGAATCTTGAGTATTATGTAACATATTGATAACTTTTCTGTTACTATAATTCTTAATGAAATGAAAAAAAAATATGAAAAGTTGAAAGAAAATAACTTTTCTAAAAAAAATATGAGTCATTGGATTTCGTGTGTATAATTAATGTAAATAAAAGAAGTTTCCTCAAATTGTTTGGTATTGTGATGCGAGAATTACGTAATAATATTTTTTTTTTCTCGCAGAAGATGGAAAGCGATAAATTGCGTCACCACGGTTTAAAAATGGGTGTAAAACTGTGCGTTAAGAAAAAAAAAAGAAGGTGAAAACGGTGATTTGCATTCGTAATTTCCGCGAAAAATCGGCTCGATCCGAAGAAGTAGACCACATCGATTGTGGCCCTCCTCGTCCATCTCGTGCGTTCGCGCTTGACCCGTCTCTGTTTTCCCTCTTTATTTTTTCTCTCGCGCCCTTCGACCCCCCTCTACCCCTATTCCTGCTGGCGTCGGCGGTGGCGGCAAGCAACCCCCGCAGCGTGTGTGTACGTTGAGAGTATCCCTTGACGACGCTTGACCAGATGACCATTTACATACATTACCTAAGCCCAGTCGGGGGCGGTTTGCGGGCCCAGTGCTGTGCAGTGCTTTGGCCCTCCAAGAACCCTCACGAAAACGAAAGAAAACGAGCGAAAGCAGTGACTTTAACACACACACTTCGTTCATTTTTATCTCAAGGATCAAATTCAATTCCATCCAACACGAAGACCCTAGAAAGTTACAATATAAAAAATATATATAACCGGTACAACAAAAACAGAATAGAGAGAAGGAAAAAAAAAAGAGAAAGACCTCTCGTTTAACCTACATAAAACAATCAAACGCACGACATCCAACCCTTCGAAAAGAGCGTGTGCGAGAGAGAGAAAGAGTAAAAAGAGAGGGTTGTTGAAAATTCATGGGTTTTAATTATTAAGAGGGGTGATTTTATCGGCGAACTCTGTAATCGCAACGACAATTACGCTTATTTAGGTGAGTCCTGATTTCTACCAAACTCAAAATCTAAAGGAAATAAAAAGAAACACAAATAATTAAAATTACCTTAATGTTTAATTTCCATTGAATCCATTATCAATTCATTTCCAATTGGATGAATTATTCACGATATCCAATCGATTGGCGTTTCCAGGATTCAATATTACATATTGATGGTTGTCTCCGCGCGCTGTTTATCTTCCTGTTGTCCATTTTCTCTTGTTTTTTTCTATTCAATTCCGCAGAAGTCCGTACGTAAACACTCGGAATTTCTGCTTCTTTTAGTTGTTTAGTAATTTCGTTCAAACAGTGTCTGAGCAAACAGAGCTCAATTTGTTTTCATTAATTGGATAAACGGTAACAACCTTGCGCAAACACACATAATTTGCATTGTTGAACGTTTCACTTCTTCCACTGAAGATCAAATATTGTTTAATTACGTAAAAAAAATGACTTTTGTTCTTGAGGTGATAATTGCATTTGTTAAGTTACCAACTTAGTCATTTAGTCATTTGTCTTCTTGGTAATATTTCTTGAATGATCTCCATTTTGACTAAAATTTTTGGAGATGATGTAATTTTTTTTCAAATTTTATAATTTTACACGTTACTTGTTAATAAATTATCACTTGTGTAGAGGAAATACGAAATTTGAGTATACATTACCTTCTTTGGTTCCTGAAGTAAATAAACGTAAATTAAGTTGTCGACTGTTTCCATATTAAGAGAAATCAAATTCACTTACAATTTTAACAATTATTGTATTTTTCTTTAGTTCACGATTGAATAATTACGGATATCTTAAATTCGCGTTTTTTTCTGACGTTTATAAATAATTTGTTTGTTATTTTACAAAAGACAATCGTTTTTTTTATATAATATAAGCATGCCGTGCTGGCAATGACACCAACCTAAATATAAATAACAAATAATAATTACTATACCATAATGATATTAATTGTTTAATTTAACTTTTTTGAAAGAAATTATTACATAATTTTGCTAAAATTAAAGTAAAAAAACTCCTTTCTTAAGTAACCGCAATTTACATTGTATTAACAAAATACTTCTTACTACAAACTGTAGAAAAAAAAAAACTTTTTTAATGTATATATTTATAAGTTTCTCGTAAACTATTGGCACGTTTCTAGTATGGTTTTTTGCTTATAAAGTTGTTTCGTTAAAATTCCAATTGGATAGATCTCATAAATTATTTATCGAAGTTAATTGAATCAATTCTAAAGTCATTCTCACCGTCCCTGTTTCCTATTATCTGATGTAATCAATTACCAACAACAGCAAAAAAAATAATTATACAAAGCATCAATTATGGGCTTTGATTAATTGATTTTAAATTTTGAATATAATTGTTTGCCGGCATCTCATAAATTATTTATAATCATAAATAATGTGTGCAGCATAGATTAGATGGAATTTAAAATGATTCGTTTAATTTGAATAACTTTTTAGTTGTTTTGTTTTCTTTGCGTGTTTTGGAAGTAATTAGTTTAGAAAACTATATTGCAAAAAAACTAACGTTAAAAAAAGCAGTGTTTTCACATTTCATTGATTTTCTCGGAAACTATAAAAGATTGTATAGATCCAAAAGATGCATATGAAAGCTGAATGTTTGGAGAATCTAGCAAGTATTCATATATTGTTGTGCTTTCATCCGTTTGGCTGTAATTGATGTTTAAATTTGAAAAAACGTTAAAAAAAGCAGTGTTTTCACATTTCATTGATTTTCTCGGAAACTATAAAAGATAGAATAGATCCAAAAGATGCTTATGAAAGCTGAATGTTTGGGGAACCTAGAAAGTATTCAAATATTGTTGTGGTTTCATCCGTTTGGCTGTAATTGACGTTTAAATTTAAAATAAAGTTAAAAAAAGCAGTGGGTTCACATTTCATTGATTTTCTCGGAAACTATAAAAGATAGTATAGATCCAAAAGATGCTTATGAAAGCTGAATATTTGGGGAATCTAGCAAGTATTCATATATTGTTGTGGTTTCATCCGTTTGGCTGTAATTTTCGTTTAAATTTAAAAAAACGTTAAAAAAGCAGTGTTTTCACATTTCATTGATTTTCTCGGAAACTGTAATAGATACAATAGATCCAAAAGGTGCTTATGAAAGCTGAAT